AGCTGCTATCCACCCACCTAGATGGAGACAGGGTGAATGATTTAATTGTGTAGCACTATTAAAATTTCTTTTTTTCCTCTTTCCAGCCTGTTGATGAAGCAAGCACATGGCTTCCAGCATCTGTCTCAGGGCCCTTCCTACTGCCATAATAGCTGTGGAAGTCCAAAATAAAAGAAACACCCGACAGAGTAGGTTTCTGAGCTACATGAAAGACTTGTTTAAAGAGAAGACTGGCTGTAACTTCTTGAACAGCTTAGGTAGGTCTGGAGTCACTTCTAAAATACCTACTTTTTTTTCCCCCCTCTCCTTTTTTTTTTTGCTATTCATTGCCCCATAAACATTTCAGTGGCAATCGGCATAAATAGTTGGCAGGTAGAACGAGCCAGGCCTTCACCTCCAAGCTACAGCACGCTTCTATCTTTTTTTAATTTAAATTTTGTAATTTTTTGAAAGCAGCCAAACCTTCACACTCTTCCACTATGGATGAATTACAAGGTTGGGCACATCAAGCTTTTGCTATGGTAGAATAGGGTTAAAAGCAGATGGCATGGATGGGAGTTGTAAACTGCTCCCTGGAAACAGCAGGCTCCTCATTATAGACTTCACAGAATGGGCCAGAAGGGACCTTTAAAGGTCTTCTAGTCCACTTCCTCTGCCATGGATGTCTTTCACTAGATCAGGTTGTTCAAAGCCTCATCCAACCTGACCTTGAACACTTCCAGTGATGGGGCATCGGCAACTTCCCTGGGCAACCTGTTTCAGGATCTCACCATCTTCATTGTGAAAACTTTCTTCCTTATATCCAACCTAGCCATTTTCTTCAGGCCCTGGTAAAAGGTCTCTCTCGGCTTTTCTTACAGGCCTCCCTTATGTATTGAAAAGCCACATATGATCTCCCCGAAGCCTTCTCTTCTCCAGGCTGAATAACCCCAGCTCTCTCAGCCTGTCTTTGTTGGAGAGGTGCTCCAGTCCTCAGACCATCTCTGTGTCCCTCCTCTGGACCCACTCCAGTAGGGCTAACATGGTGGGCTCCTGTGCAGGCAAAAACCTTGTGTGACTTAAAGGGAAGGTTATACTGGTTTCTAATTAGTCAAGGAGGGGAAAAGTCAATTTTATGCTTAGGAGAGCACTGTTAATGAACAGCTGGGTAATGGTCTGATTGACTGCAAAGCCAATGTGCCTTTGAGTTGGAGGCTGGATGGTTGCCCAAGGCCAAACTTACTGAACCTGCAGGGCTTGTTTGGCCATGGTACCCATTTACTGTCACAGGAGTGTGTGTGTGTGTGCGTGCGTGCGCGCACAGTAGTGGGCTCACCTGCTCTGCAGCATCGAAGCCTGGCTCTGTGTACTAAGCGCAGCCAAGCGAGGCCAGCAGCCCCAACAGTGGGAAGCAGCTCCTTTGTACCTCATTTGCCAATGCAGTGCTAGACTGTCACAGTGTTTCTGCTTCTCAGCTCAGGCAAACCCTCTGCTGCTCGGCTGTTGCCAAGCCTCCTTGTTGCTCTGCTTCCTGCCTTCCCATATGGTGGCTTGTTTAAAAATAAGACGTTTACAAGGAGCAGGAATTTTGGGGGGGGGGGGTTACAGGAACTGCTAGATGAGCTAGTGTGCCTGAGTTGCAGTGAGGGCTCATTTACACACCTGTAGTGTTAAAAAAAAATCCTAGAAATACACTGGGTTCCTGGCTGGTAGTGGCTTACTGTGGCAGAAGTCCAACTCCTGGAACTCGTCCTTGCTGATGAGGTAAGTGAGAATGGCCACTAGCTCCCCAGCCTGCAGCAAGGCAGGACTTCCCTGTGCTGCCCAGCTTGTCCTTGCTGGCCCATCCCAGTGCCTCCCTGGGTGCTGGACCGAGTGCATGGAAACAGCATGCTGGGCAGAAGAGGAAGGGAGCTTAAAGAAGTGGGGAGGGACCCAGCACTGGCAGCTGCACCTTTACCACATCTGTGTCTTCCTGCTACTCTGAGTTGCCTTTGGGAACTGCACAGAGAAGACAAAGACCTTCCAGCTCTTCTGCTTTTGCCCTGGGGCTATTTCACCCCACATGTTCTCAGCTGCAAGCATGGACAGTACAACCACCAGTCATTCCTCAGTGGTGCTCATCTAGTAGCCCCTGGCACCTGCAGTGGGATGTGATGATAGTAGACGGCAGATGGAAGTGGCAGGGACCCCGGGATAGCTCAGCATGATGCATAGCTCCTGGATGCTGTGTCCTCATGTCAACCTCCTGCTCTACAGAGCCTTTCTAGGCTCAGATCCTGGAGCTGTCAGGGCTTGTAGGCCTCCTGCTATTCCCAGCTGGAGCAAAGCTGCTGATGGTGCTGCTTCTCTACTCACAGCCACCTTGTTGCTTAGGTCATCCTTTTTTAAATTTTTTTTCTTGCATGTGTAGCTGTTAATGTTTGAAGGGCACCCATTTTAAAAGGGCTGTTGGGAGAAGGCAGGTGGCTGCTTGTGGCCAAGTGGTCCTGCTTCAAAGTATATCAAAGTCATGCCCATGTGATGTTGGATATGAAAACAGCAGAAGGGAACAAGGTAAGTCATATTCTACTAGATTGGAATTAAATTCTGATCACTTTAAGGATAGAAAAAATAACTTGAAAAAGTTGTTAGTTTTCTCCATGAGCTGTTCAATTCCCAAGGTGCACACTCCAGTTCCCCTGAAGCAGCTGTTTTTAGATTTGTAGAAACCTCAACTGACCAAAATCAATTACATCAACTTCAATAAACTTCCTAATAAAGACAGTTAATCAATTACCACTGTCTTCATCTGCCATAGGGGTTCTGCAGCTGTTTTTATTTTAAAACAATTCACTACTAAACCAGAATATGCAACTGGAATGAAACATATTAAATCAAGATGAGCATTATGTGTGTAGAACAATCATTCTCTAATTTTACCAAGATGATGAACTTCCCTGTTGTCCCGACTACTGCTGTGTCTTTGTGCACATCACAGAAAAGCCTCTCACAATGGCGCTGGGGCTTGGAGTTACTCTGCAGCCCAGGCTGCTGGGAAGTGCATGCCATACACTTCATTAGTAGTAGGAAAGTATTGTTTGTAACTCTATAATTAAATTTTTGCCTGAAAGATCCCTATTTGCAGGATTTTCTTGCTCTAGTTTTCAACTTCAATAAATGCTCATGATAATAATGCATTGTACACAGAGATTTCAATTGCTTTTCTTTAAGCAAAATTAATTCTATTTTAAATACCTCTGGCTCTTTTTTCATTTGAAAATGTGGAAAAAAATGCATAGGCTAAAGACTAAGAACTTAAAGCTGCTGCTAATTTCAAAAATTACATATTACAAGAAATTAATGCATAATATGAACTAAATGATAGTGCAGTCTGGGGTGTGGGGAGAAGCCCTGCAGCTGTGGTTTCTCTTGTGTAAAAAGGGACAATCATTCAGCTGGTTTTCTACCTTAAAACATTATAAGGATTCAGGACATCTTTCGCTGAACTTATGCAATGCCCTTAATTGTGCCAATCAAGACAGGAGACTTTTTTGTAAATCCTGAAAGTCTAGAACCTGTGACCTAAAAAACCAAACAAACATTTTTCTGAATCTTAAAGTACAGCTGTTTTGAAGTCACTATGGCCTCCTCTTGCCTTTTATCCTAACTGCTTTAGTTAGTTAGTTTACTTTACAAAAAGTATCAGTTTACTAAAAATGCTAGAGTGGATTCATCCACAAGTGTTTTAGCAACTACAGAGACAAAGGGAATCCAGAGCAAATTTAGCAATTGCAGACTTGCTTGAAGTTGCAAGAATCTGTTTAATGATTTCAGTGGTAACCAAGATGCCAGAAGCCTGTCTATCCCTTGAGCTCCTAACATTTTTTGGCATTGCAGATAATTACAGTCTGAGAAGAGAAGGATTTGGGGAAAACACTCTGTGTTATGAGTGCAAACTTGCACTCATACATGTAAGTGCCCCCCAGCATAAACCTTAGGCAGTTCGCAGTTAACCCACTTTGTAGATGCCTTATTTACTGCCAAAGGCTGCAGCCCAAAGTCAGGAGTTCAGGCTACCCATAATGCTCAAGAAAGTTACACATCTCAGAAAAGACCACTTATTGAGCAAGGAGCTGCCAGTACCAAACAGTAGGAAATACCACGGAAGGAATCACGTTTTATCTTTAGAAACAGTAAGGCACCCATGGCTCCATCAGCTTCCCTGTCTTAAGTACCAGCCTCTGTACTGGTGACCTGGGTGGGCTGGGTACTGCGCAAAGAGAAGACCATACCGTCCTTTCCCATTATATGTGAAAATACGCTGCTAAACATCTGAAGAACTCTGGCCAAAAGTGAAGTACTGTGACGCTTCCAGGCTAAGGGGTGGGATTTTGAACACTTCAGTTTTGGGCAAAGGTATTTAAAATTTGCTGAGGGTTCAGCCAGACAAACTCCAGTCAGTCCACTCTCCACCCCGGCCCCAATCTACTGCTAGAAAGGAGCTTTTTAGCTAAGAGGTATCAAATGCATATTAATGGTGCTCAGTGCAGCCATTGAATGATATTCTGCTGCATTTGAGAAGCAACAGGTCCATTCAGTTAACTTCCATATTTATATAGCTATTTTCAGGTTTCCAGTGCTGGGACTTAGTTATCTAATAGACCATGAGGAAAGAATTAAGTAACTGAGTGCACAGTTAACTGGTAGTGAAGAGTTGCACCCATGTAAAAGGAAAATAAACTGAATTAAAAAGGCCAAATACAATAAATTGCAAAGCAGGTCCTATACAGCGCATAGAATTTGTGATCCTAAGTGGCTACTAACACACCCTTTTTTCCCTTCCCTTGCTGTAAAAGGAGAGCAAGGAGGCAAAGAAACATCAAGTGAGCTCAAATTTTCTTACCTTCCTACTGGATTACCATTCAGAAACAGCATGAATTATTAGATACGTCTAAAAACTGGTCATATGTTTTATCTTCAGATATTTGTTATGTACCAATTCAACAGTACACCAGCATTCCAGTGGGAATAAAAGGTCTTTTTTGTCAAAATCATTTTATTAAAGAGTTAATGTCACAACAAGCTCAAAATAACACATGCTTCAGAAAGAAACTGGATGAAAAATACTCCAAACAGAAATATGCATGTTTTGAAGGCATGGTAAAGCATCAGTTGCAAGAAAATTCTGAAAACAGGTGCAAATTCTGTTGGTGGAATGGAGAAAAACCTCAGAAAAGAAGCCTGCTGGGCATGACTTCTGTTCGTGTAGTGCAGTTTGTCTAATAAGTTAAATCAGAAAGGGCACAATTTCCATGGCTGCACAGACTCAAATGTATTTCTTCAATAACTAGCCCCAGCACAGGTTTTTCCACTGTGAGTACTAACAAAACGAATGTAGTTGACATCTTACCATAGCAGTAATATATGTATTATATACATGATAGAAGTTTGACTCATGCAGCCTCCTCGCTTACATTTTTTTTTTATTTACCCAAGAAACATTATAAAAAAATAGGTTTGCAATTTGTATTTCACTCCAGTGTTGGCTCCGCATCACCTCAGGCAAAGACAGTGACAGTGTTTCAGCAGATAATCTAATTTGGAAAGAAATCTGCCCTAAATTTTAACCTCATTTTCGTAAATCCACGTAGAAAATAAATGCGAACTCTTTATACAAAACAAGAGCAAATAACTGTACCTATATAAAAGGGGATTCGCTCCCTTTAATTTTATTATCATGGCACACACTTTATAGTTTCACAACAGCATACTAATTTTCATTTAGGTTGGCTTTTATTTTTTTTTTAAACCCCAAAATAGTGTTGATGAATGGAAGAATGTGAGTTACCGCTGGCAGTTGACTCATGCATTCAGCAATTCGTGTTCTTTATCAGTTTTCCCAACAGCATCAGGATTGGATAATGGGTCAAGGTCAGCAAAGAGACTGAACCAGGCAGTCAAGTCTTTAGGATTCTTTGTAGGTTCTGGAAAAAAAAAAAAAAAGAAAAAAGAAAAGTACAGACTTGTCAACTATTTTAAAACAAAATTGACTGAATGTTTGACTGAGGTCAAACAAATGCCATGCTATTGTTTAATTTATTACTAAGGGCACTTCTGACAAGGAAATCTGAATGAGTGATGGCATTTAAAAACACTGCCTTTAACAGAATATGGAACTTTAAGAGTGAATGTTTTTAATCTGTCTGCCTGTGCATTTTATATGGCTGCTGCTATGATAAGTACAGGAATAGTTTAATTAAAAATAGAAACAATCTTGCTCTGTCTAGAGCAAATCTGTTTTGTTTCATGAAAGGTATTTTATTTGTGTGTGCACCTGCATGCCTGCAAAAAAAGTAAAAGGAAAGAAAAGGCAAATTTTACTTTAAACTCCTCTTAAAAGACTGAATTCCTCTGCCTAAATCCAGTTCATGTGACTGGTCTGTCCCCCTTGTATATGACCACAGAAGGTCATTACTGGACTGAAGTCTTAATGGGGAAGTATTGGCTGGAGAGAGGGGAGGTACATTTGACAGCCAGTCCGAACTACAGCTTCTAGTATTAGGGTATATTTTTTTGATGGATATAAAAAAACATGAACCAGGAATATATTTCAAGAGCAGCTGCACTGTTCCATCTATGTGTCTATATTGACATACAGATGCCACAGAGGTCCCCTACCTTCTCTTATTCCAAAAGGGCAGATGTTCAAGTTAAAGAGGAGGTGACTTTGGCTGCTATAAAGAAGGTACATCACCGCTTGCTTTGTTTTTTGTGACCACAGGCTTAACAGGTATTATATGGATAGTGAAATAAAATGTCTCTCAGAGAGAAAATGTTGCACGAAAGTATTCTTTGCAAAACAAGGAATTTATGGAGAAAATAGGCTCCGCCTGGCATGACTTTTATCTTGGTGTCTGCAAGGCTGGAATATCTGCCACTTTCACAAACACAGATTTTAAAGTAGCTGAAGACTGTTCCTTTTTCTGGTGAAGGCAGTGTAACTGTGGCATCCCACTCATTTCCAAAACAGTCCAAAACATCTTAACCCTCTCTTTCTGCTGGGCTGAAACGCATCAGCCTTTTAATCCCACGAGACAAGGGAAGGAATATACATTGCTCTTCTTCTGCACTGAACACCTTTGATGTAGCTTCTGTTTGAATGTGAATTCACAGAATAGGCTACAAACTGGCAATATGAGTTCAATGTATTTCTGGTTCACTTATCCAGAAAACCCTAGTCAAAATAAGTGGGGCTTTGTCTCAGTAGGCGGCAGGACTATGCACTCTTGGCTCAGTTGCAAGAAATGAATTAAGTTTCAAACAGATGACTACTGATATGATGTATGCTATCAACAAAATTTGCAATTAGGGCTTTTCTGCCTTATCAGTAGCCTGGGTTTTAGCCACAATGTCCTCCTAAAGATTCAAAACACTGTTTAGCTTAGACAAAGTGCATGCTGATGCTCTTCTGTGTGACTCAAAATTAAAGCAGTAAAAGAAACTAGTTTCAGTACCCTCATTAAGTAGTAAATTACTCTTTTGACATACTAGTAGCACTGAAACCTACCAAAAACTTAACCATACACACACTCAATGCTAAAACAGAGTAATTAATTAGTAAGCACATGATTCTTGACATTTAACTACTACAAAAATAGGTTTTATTATGATAGTGTAACTGAGAAGACTGGAAAGATACGAGTCACAGCTAAAAAGGAATAGCAAAGTAACTGAAAAAACACACAACTATCACCTTTCATGGGCGTCTTGTTAGCATTCACATTCGGGCTGTTTGGTTTCTGTGCTGGCTGTGGTATAGACGGTTGGCTCACACTGTTAGCTGCCCATCCTGCAATTCAATAATACAGCAGCATTAGCATGAAAAATTTCTTCATTAACTCTCTCATCCCACTGCCTGGCAGCACAATGCTCACAACAGATGATGGAGCAGAACATTGTATTTATGGTTATGGCCGCTTGTATCTTTCCTTGTACACAAGAAATCAGCAGTCAGATGCTGCAGACAAGCAACATCCTTGAGAAGAGAATATTTGTGAATCAGTTTCATCATCTCCAGACTCAGGCAACTGTACCCTTTTCAGACCTTTAAGATTCAAAAAAAAAAAAAAAAAAAAAAAGATTTTTTTCTTGTTTCTTTGATTCAATCACAGTTAGTGCTTGTTCACAGAACGGCCAGTACAGTAATCGAGTCAAGCAGAGCTGTAGAGAAGAGAGTATCACGTTTGTGCAAAAATATCACACATACTAAACATTTTTCCATCTTTCTTTAACACTTTCAAACACTTCCATTTCATCAGCTGTTCCAGAAAAAAAATGTATTTAGAGATCCTAGATTTTTAAAATTAATTTTGAAATTATTCTGAAAAAATATACCTTGCAAAACACTTTGAATAATTAAATTCAAGATGCACCACTTCAACTTCACCTAAAACTAGGTTTTAATGGAGGATATTTTTGTTCTTCATTGCTGAGGATCTTCTCAGCAGGGAGAGCGTAACGCAGGAAAAAGTAAAACTGGTTATTGACATTTTTTTGTTCTTACATGTATATTCCATAGCCTCAAAAGAATCATCATAAATACAGTTAATGAGGCCAGATAAGCCAGGCTGGCAAAATGAACGATGGGTGGTGTACCATGGAAACATACTAGCAAAAAAATGGAGCATTTTTGTCCCTGACTTAAGTTATTTAAATTCTTATGCTTTACCACATTTAGAGGACTGGAGGTTGTATTTCCTATTTTAATAGTACTCCCTTTAAGTGTGGCCTGATCAATTATCCATCCATCTCATGGATCTTGTACATCTTATTCTGCGGTATCACAAACAGGACATTAATCTGTGCACACAGCCAGCATTTCCTTATTCAGTCTCTTTTCTCTACACGTTCATGCTCTCATCTTCTCTTCTACTCTCTGTTCTTCCTTCCCTTACTTTCTCCTCCTTTCAGACCCTTGTCAGGTACTGGTAGCCAGACAGTTACTGTAATGGACACACAAACCACATAAGCCCTTCCTCTGCCTAATAGATTATTCTCATCACTCTCTGATCTTACCTTGACTATAAAAGGTCTGAACCCCAAGCTGTGTTCTTAAAAGGAGGCAAGAAGAGTGTTTCTGTAAAATCACATGAATTAGAAAGGAAATTTAAAGCCACAAACATCCTCTCTATCTCTAAGGAAACAAACCAAAAACTTCAAAATCTGGATGCAGAGGGCTCACATATATTTGTTCTAGGCAAAGAAGATAAAAGTTTATGAGCTAGCCTGTGCCCCCTGAAAATGAGATTTTAGAGTTTAATCTTTCAAATAAGCGAATTTGATTCATAAATAATAAAAAGTATGTCACTAACACTTCAGAATGACATACATTTCCAGGCATTTTCTCTGCTTGTGTTACAAAACAGAAGAGTGGCAGAGGACATTACACACAACTACAGAAAACCATAATGCTTTCGTCTGTTTGGAGACATACTGTGAGAAAGTGTTTTAATATGTTAGTGGATGGAAACGGATAAATCGAGCAGCTTAAGCAAACAGGGCCAAATCCTCATCTCATAGAAATAAATGGGAGTGGCACCCAGAAACTTCCTGTGCTTCCAGTCCCACTGGCTTCAGTGAGATCAGGAATTGGCTCCTTGAGACCTCACTGATGTTCACTTACACCGATGTGACTGGCAGACCACAGAGTGAGACACTGCAGGCCGGTTCACTCCTTTAGAGCCCTGCTTTTGTGTCCCTGGACTAAGGCTTGGAAACCAGCACCTCTGTGAGAGATGCTGTGGGCTTGTTCTCTGTTCATTAAAACGCAGGTAGCTCAAGTAACACTTAGAAAACAAAAACATCCAACCAAAGGTGCTCCAGAAAATGTGTGATGATTTTGTAATGAACTTATGCATCTACAAAGGTACTGGGAAAGCCTGACACAGAATTCTTATTAAATACTTTCTTTCATGAATTATGGTTTTAGTGTCCACTCACAGTGAGCTACAGAGAACAACTTTGCCTTTCGGCAGCAAACTGCAGCCAACCAATTTGAAAGGAGCTGCTAGCCCTAAGCCTGTTCTGGTTTGTCTGTTCATTGTGACTAGACAAAAGATTATCGCCGAGACAGCAAGGAAATCAAACAGCTTACTTTTCAGCTAGCATCTTCACAAACGTTACCACAACTAAATTTAGAAAGAGAAATGGTGGGCTGCACACTTTCTTACCAACTAGAATATGCGCACATATAGGTAAGATAAAGAGGAGCCCTTAGTGGTATGAATAAATAAGTAAATGAGGCCATAAATGTCACAAAAGAGAAAGCCAATGCTCTCTGTGAAAAAGTATAAAGGCAACCAAAGTACCATATCTGAAGGGGAATCTAAAAGATCTGCTGGGAGCATGTTTTGTTTCTAACATATATATACATGTTTATATGTATTTTAAAACAGGACCTGGTACTCCTATAGCAATTCAAAGTCCCATTGTGTTAGATATTGCCTATAAATACAGCCAGAGAAAACTCCGAGCTGGGAATTCCTGACCGTAACAGTTTATAACCTGCATAGCATTGTGCCTGTTTTACAGATTAAGATCTGAGGCAGAGAGAAAACAAAGCCCCAAAGATTTATGAGTGTGCTTAACATAAAATAAGTAAGTAATCCCACTGAAGTTAATAGAAAAGTTAATGTGCTTAAAGTTAAGCATGTGAGTTTTAAGAATCTTTATGGTCTTAAGGCCAAATTCACACAGGAAGTATGCAATATCGAGGCTCCAGTGTAGCACCTCACACTGAATAATTATTAAGCAATCCTACCAACTAGGGAAAAAAACGTGTAGGATACATATCATAAATCCTCAGCAAAAATATCCATAATTCATATATTCTAACATTTTCAACTTGTATGTTTATATATGTTTATACTGTAGTTAGTATTTCGTTGTTTTTTTTTTTTTAAAATCTGTGTTTCCAAATTTATTGGCAAGGTCAAATCATGAAAGAAGTGCTGTGAAACAAAATGCAGTTCAAGATTAAAGTTGAGACTTCACAAGATATAAAATGGACAGAATTTCACCTTTTGTTAAAAAATAAGAAACAAAAGACTTAAAAAGAAAAATAGTCCATAAAAGTTAAAGAATGCATTCTACTTGGCAACTACAATCAGCTGGAAACATGCTGATTATCAGATAGAATCATTCAGCTGATTAGGTCTGACTTTTCAAATGCCAGTAAATCAATTACCATGATCTTCCCCCAAAAGCTTTGACATCCATTTGAAAACACCAACGTATTTTATTCTTCCAATGCATGTTTATACTTTTTCTTATTTAAAAGATTTAAGATTTTGGGATACCATGTTGACTGGAACAGATTTTCCATTTCTAGCGTTCCTTGAATGCAACTCTGAGTTCTGATTTTGAAGTGCTAACACACAGCCAACGCCAGTGTCTTGTGCAAATGAGAAGGATAAAAATAACCTCAGAAAGGAGGCCCTGTTTGCCATTTACACCTCAAAAATATTTTTCCTTCAAAACCATGTCTACATTTAAAAATATGTAAAAACTTTGGAAAAATTATCAATGCCATAATATTTCTGTTGCTATTTTCAGTAAGTTGCTTAAAATCTGTTTATTTCTCTGTATCAAGAAAGGTGTTTTTCACTGCTCCTTTTTTCCTTTTCAATAATTACCATGTCTACTTCTGGTCATAAACTGTTTAATTTGATGATGGAATGGCTAAATCTCATGGTTTTTTTAGCTCATATTTTATGAGGTCAAATGCTAAGCTCTTCCAGTCCCTCTTCACTCTACCAATCATACTCATATATGCATGTACCTCATCATAAAAATACATCTAAAACTGCACATCATTGCAAATGTCACTCCCTCAATTTCCATCTAAGTGTTGAAGTCAGTGAACCAAAATACCTTGTTTTAGGCGTGGCGGTAACTGTATTAATTACAAGATAAATTTTACTTTCTTATTCTTGCCAAAATGTCACAGGTCATTTTACATTACGAATGATTGTAGCAATTGCATAGGTTCCAAGATGCAATCTTCAGGATGGAATCAGTCTGCTAGTCTTTGCTACATCACTTGTCCCCAAATGAGATTTCACTGACTTGGGACAGAACCCAAAAAGGCAAGCTCCTCCTCCAGCTTGCAATGCCCTGGGAGAAATCTAGCTGGACTGTGGGGAGGACAAAGGTAACCAAAAAAAGGTAACCAGCTGTTGTCTGGTTATCACCACCTGCCTTCCTCAAAGCCAAAGCAGCAGCAGGAAATTTCAGTTCTAGTTCCTCTCTTTCTTTTCCTCTCCTGCCCAGTAGCAGCTTAGAAAACCCAAGAAAATGAACTGCATAGAAGAAAGCAGAATGAAAGAGTTGCATCAGTAAATAACCAGCCTACAGGAGGAATCCACCTATATGGTTGCTAGAATTAGACAACCCACCCCTAACTTACCCATCTCTCTATACACAGCAGTATGGAATGTATTGAAAAAAAAGAGAAGAAAATTAATGAATGCAATTGATTTTCACTAAGTTGTTTAAAAATAGTAATCCCAGACAAAAGAGAGTAATAATTTTTGGTTCTATGGCCCCTTAGCAGAGACGGCAGTTGTGATTTAAACATTAAAACCCACTCAAACAGATTTTCTGTTACAGCAAAAAGAAGACGTCTCAAAGACCTACAGAACATTTCAGGAAGCTCAGTGAAAATATTCAAGAGAGCAATTTTACCTTTAGGTTTTAAAGTACTTCATTCACAAACCTGAATTAGTAGGGCTAGAAAAATAAATATGCTACTCACATGTTTTTCTCCAGGCCACACTCTGCTATAACTTCAGGGTTTCTGCAGCTATGGCACAACATAAGCAGTCACCACACTTCTACATAGCAGAAAGCCATACTCTAAACCCTAAAACCAAACCCAAAATGCTGACAAAACAAGATGAGCTCTCACCGTGTAAAGACGACTGCAAGTCATTCATGTTTTGGTCTAACAGCTGTGAGGGCAAGTAGCCTGATGGCGTTGGTGCCACAGATGATGAAGTGCTCTCCACATCTCCAGCAGAAGAGTTCATGGTGAGATCACCAAGTGCAACCTGTCCAAAAACAGCTGTCCACTCCTTGCTGAACTCCCCCTCGTCCAGGGAGGAAGCGTTGAGGATCTCATTCAGTAATACCATGTCATCCTTATCACCAGGTTCTGACTCCAAGGACCTCACAAACTGATCCTTTGAAGCTGTCTCAGAACAAGAGAGTCAAGATAAATAATTTTTAGATAAAGAAAATTATTTTTAAAACTCCCAATCTACATTTTGTATGTTAAGTGAGATGGAGTATTTTTGTGTCAATATTTGTTGTTTTCTCTTTTAGATCCAATCCCCTTGGACATATGGGCTTGTAGCTTATACAACAAATAATTCCTCGGTTGTCTGAGATAACCTCACTGCTGTTAAGACTCATTTCTCATTAAAAACCATAAGTATGCTGAAAAATCCATTAAACACCGCACCACAATCATTACATGGTCTAATATCAGCTGAGCTCTGCGAGTTGCATACAACTTGCAAAGATGTTTTTAACCCTTTTGTATTGGGATGAGATTGATGGTAGGAGAGTAGTTGCAACAGGCTATTTTATTGAAATGCAACAGCCTTCTCAGGCAAGTTCCTTTTAATAGCTGTAATAATTTACAATGAAATGGCTGAAGCTGAGTCAGAAGAGGAAAAGAAGCACAAGACTGTGTTTCAGAATAGGCTGATGACTCAACATGCACTAAGAAACAAATAAAACAACACATAATATAAGGATTTTATTCATTACTGAAGCCAGCTCTGAGATTCAGCTCCTTTCTAATTCACATTTTTATATACCTCTGAACTCCCTGACAGAGCACAAAAATTAGAAATAGAAACATCACAAACAAGACAATTCTCCTGATGTTCCCATTAGACTATAACTAAAATGCCATAGAAAACAATTTGTTCTCATGAATTTTCAGGCTGCTTTCACATCTCCAGACGAACAGCAAAATTTGTTATGGTTGTCCAAGCATCTACAATTCTCTCAAGTCCCTAGTTATTCAGCAGGTAAGGCAAAAGGGTAAATCCTTCCATAGGGGAAAGACACTTGCTATATTTCAAAGGCACTTAAGAACTCTGATCTCTGTGGGGCATCAACATCTCAAAGTTGCTTTCAGGAGGCCCCCTCAAGAACTTGGAAGGCTTACAGGGGGAGATGCAAAGAGAGCATCATTAGTAACAGCTCTGCTAAGGCACACCGCCAACGCGGTACCTAACTACAAATGACATTTACTATAATGGAACAAAGGCTTTGCAGTAACACAGCTCAGACCAAAGCTCTGCTTCATCTCGGTACCCCACTGCAGTAGTCCCATTTTTACTGGGGGAGAAAGTATAACACATAGCTTTACATCTAAAGAGCAGTTGGGTCTTGCTATAGTGCATACGATCACCCAACATCAGAGAAGTGACACATTTCTTGTCTCAGCAGCCTTTCTGATCTTTCTGCAAGGACAACACACCCGGGGCAGAGGAGGACAGGGTGGTGCTTATGCTCAGTAAGCAGCAGTAGGTTCTACCCTTGTTTGCAATAAAGGTTGTCTTGAAACCAGTCTTGCTTATCAAGATATTACTCATGCGGCATCTCTGCTAGATTACTAGAATGATACGGACTTTCTCACCTCATCCATAAATATTCTATTACTTATTTTTCTGTTTCTTTGCTTTCACTGCCATTTTCACAGTCAAAATCAGTTTTTTGTCTGCACATGCTGCCCCCAACCTTATAAATGTCCATGAAAAAACAACCCCAAATCCCAATAAAACACTGAAAAAACAATGAAAACAATGTCACTATACTCTTTTTTGTAGTTGTTTGAACAAGCTTCTAGCAATGCTCATATTCCTTTGCCTTGTTTAGCTGGTATTTAAAAAAAATAAATGCAAAGACGAACTAAAAATATTTACAATGATACATGATCAGAAACACAGGATAAAGACTTCCTTCTGAAACACACACAAAAGTGTACTTCTAACTATACTGCTGCACTAAAAATAATAGAATATTCATTAGTCTAAAGCTATCTGGTGTGTAAAGTTAGGGTGAATGGCTGATACCGTAATATTAACATAATAATCCTTATCTGATGTAGCCACCCCACAACTGTTTTCATATTGATTTAACTATTTAACAAAAGGAAACAAAAATAGCCTTCTAACTCACATAGCTAAACTTGGATGACAAACAACTGTATGTATTATCTGTACCTCCACTACAAAGGTCCAACAAGAAACGGAACTAAGTAAGGTGAAAACCAGAAGAAAAAAGGCCACTATCAGACATGCACTGACCTTTTTTATTAACCACAGAAAACAAGTCATCACCACCTCATTTATCCACAGATTAGGGCTGCTTCTGCACAGGCAGCTGAGGAACTTTCCCTGCTTCTGCCTTCATGGGTGATTCCCCACACAGGCAATTTCCCCACAGTGCAAGTGACTGCCTGGGGCAAATCTAAAGTCAAGGTGTTTGTAAATGCTCTGCCTTACTCACCATGAAAGCACTGCCTTAAACACCCCAAATTACACTCTCAGCCTGAGTAAACCACACAAAGGGATTTTTTTTCTCTGCTGCTTTACTAGCTTTTTGAGGTGCCACAGTTGTTTTTGTTGTTGCAGAGGGTTTTTTTTACTCATTCTTCAGAAATGAGTGAAGAGCAAATGATAAACTGTGTGCAAAACTCTTACTGCAGATGAAAACTCAAAATAAAACTTTTGGCTTGATCTTTCATATGTTACATGGTAAAACAGTACCCTTTAGAAAGAAACAGCACCTTGACCTGCCACTGATCTAACAAAAGCATAAGGAGTAGAGCCTGAAATGAAAGAGTGCTTTCTCATTTGTGTATGAGAACAGCACAGCAGATTTAACTATCAGGCTGAAGGAAGTCACTAGGTCTTTTATTTTTTTAAGAGGACTAAATAATTAATTTCTGATACATAAATTTCTGATATAAAATCTTGCGGTTATTAGCATATTGCCAAGAATTGTGATACAGCAACTAAAGGACAAAAAGTTTGTGAAATGTTTTAGGCAGGGTAAGGTTTACAGTGGAACCTACTTCAGGGGGGCAAATGCAATATAGTTTAGTAGACCTAACCTTGAACCACCTGTCACAGTGTGTTTTATCCCCAGTAAGGCTTACTTTATATAACATCATGAACAGTGCCACTGCATGTATGAAGTTGAGTTTCCTTTAACACTGTTTAAATACGGCACCTGAATAATTTAATTCAGAAAATTATAAAAACAATTAACACCCAAGATTAAAATTATACTTAGTGCTTGTAACTGAAAAGCAGATTAAACAGACATACACAAATGTTTCATACCATTTTCTTCAGGTTGCAGGTCTAATAAGTCATCTATGGCACCTAAAAGCAAAAAAAAAAAAAAAAAGAAAAAAAGAAAAGAAAAAATAAAATTAAAAAAGCGCAACAAAGGAAGATCTGCAGTACACTGACAATCAGTATGTACACATCTAAAGACTGTTTTCTTAAGTCTCTTCACCTGAGTTCTCCTTGTGGTTACAATTTCCTTGTAACGAGGGTATGATATCCTTGCCATCATCAGCTGTAATCAAGATCCATAAACATGTCAAATTGCACTTGGCAGATGACCACACTTATAAACAATGTCACTGTATGATCAACATGCAATGGTTGTAGGTATTCATGTTTAAAATTAACCTGGCCACAACAGATGAAAGACCCAAGATATAAGCATTTCTAAGAAATGAGGCAAATATTAACCTTGGGATGTATGTGTATTGGGGGGAATCTTCCTTTGAATCACCATCTGCCACACTAGCCCGTCTCCAGGCTGAGTGCACCCACCTGAGGCAACTGATTCTTGCACTTGTCCTTCAGAAGCAGAGACACTTCTTTTAGAAGTTTGTATTTACACAGGCCAGGAGAAAGCACTTCTGTCCTCTCATCACTCCTAAAAGGATCTCATCGCTCCCTAAATCACATTCCTTGACAACATGTTCTTCCTCATGACACCAACCTCGGGAATGGGGAGAGGGAATGTTCCTTCAAGGAACCCCAGGTCAGGATAAAAGTAACAGCACCTCCTCTCCTGCAGGGAAATCAATGGGCTAGGACCAGTAGAGGGGGAAACATATAGCTGAGGGTTACAGGCTATCAGAAAAAAACCACTGCACCCCAACTGTAATTGCCTTAAGTTCTAAGCAAGTTTCTTAGGTTAGACATGAAATCCAAACAATCACCTAGATTCCATTGATCAGTGAAAGACACCTCCCTCAGGTGATTAATCCCATCTAAGAAATGCAGCAAAACAGGAGGGATGAGTTACCTGCTGGACATGCCTTTCTCTTCCCATCAACTGTTGAGGAAATCTAGCTTCTAGACAACTAAGTCTGTAGCTCTAAAGGCAAATGAAGGGGTTGGTCACAGTATTGCCAGAACTGGAAGGCAGATCTGCCTCAAACTTGAGGCTGGAAAAGAGAAATCAAATTCTCTACGGGGAAATAAAAATTGAATGCCAAACCCTTTCAAAAGAAACCTCAAGGTGTACTCAGAACTAAATGAAACAGAACAGCTTGAGGTTTGAATCTTATTATTTTAACAAGGCTTTACTAGGACAATGACAGAAATGTTCTACCAGCCCTAGAATCAGCTTGTCATTTAAGGACCCATGATCACACCTGATTACACTCTATAGATATATATAGATAGGAGAGGCATAAACACACACAGGCCAACATGATGCATCCATAAAAGGACAATGCACAAAGCTAAAGGGGAAAAACCCAACTCTAAACTGACTGGCAGAGAGAAAAAAAATCAGAAAGAGAAGTTCTTTAAAGATGGGCTATAGATGGCCACAATTCTCCAATGAAAGTACAACTGTTTCTGAAAGCTTGCCTTAGTTCAGTGGTAAACATGATGGAGCCAATCTTAAAAACACCCATAGTATATTAAGGGAAAATGTAGAGCAAATAATAAAAAATTGGAAGTGATAAAGTAGCAATTGTTGAGGAAACCTAAGAAGAAACACAGCTCCATCACTAGTGGTGCAATGTCTGTATTACTTCAGTATATACAGAGTACTTTAAGAAAAAAAAAATGTTAGCAATGGCACAGACCCACTAGTGTATTGCGATGGAAAAATTTAGCAGAGCAGGCAGAAGTATTCCAAAATACTTCAGTTCCTTTTAGGGGCAATGGAGAAAGAGACAGAACAAGGTATTTATATTATGGATGATGGTGAAACATTTTACAGCCCATAAGTAATTGAGATTCTAGAAAACATCTGCTAAGAAAATGTCAGATATTGTTTTCCATGAATATAAAAATGTCTTGTCAAAGAGATACCTGCTTGAATTAATTGCAAAATCGGTGAAACTTCAAAACACTGAAAAAGTCCTCATACTGTGTCATTATTACAAAAAACACCCAAACAACAAAAATAATTAACAGGGTGACTCAAGTAACTGTAGGTAACTATTGGTCAGTAGCTCACCCCTACTCCTACGCAAAACATTAACAGAATCCTGTTCAGTATGGGATTCAGCAAAAGCATATGAGCATAATAAATGCTCCTATAATAAAAGGTGTTCTTATGGAAAGCAGACCTAGTTAAAAAACCCAATTAATTTCATTCTTTGATAAAACTATGAGCTTTCTTTGGTAAAGATATTTCTTTAGAAATAACTTGACTTTGCGCTGCATAGCCTTCCAGCCAAAAAGTCAGCACTGCATAATATCTCTAATGAACATATTGAATGGATTAGGAACATGACAACTAACAGATGTCAAAAAACAGTTGTTAGGTGAAATAATTGCAAAGTAGAAGTGTTTCCAGTTTAGATCTGCAAGGTTTAGTGTTATATCCATCGCTATTCAATGGCTTTAGCAGTCATCTGGCAGTAAACACAAAATCACTCTTGAAAAAAATGTGCAAAAAACTAACAGACTATTAGAGATGGTCATTCAGGCCAGCCAGTTTCTGTAGTCAGAGCTGGGAGAATTTAGCACCACTAAGGCATAATTTATATCTCTAGGAATAAGGAATATAAGCCATGCTGCAGAAAGGAAGAATGAGTCCTGGAAAGCTGTGACCAAAAGGAACTGAGTCTCAATAAACAACAAATTCAAATATGAGCTTCTAAAGTGATGTTTCAGCAAAATGAGATAATCATTTTGGGATATAGAAACAGGAATGTGATTTTTACCTTCTAGAAACATGACAGCAGAGACCAACATCAGAAATGTCTTGTCTAGTTATATATTTCACGTTTTAAAAACGATGTTGTAAAGTGGAATGGAAACAAAAACTTCAAAAATTAAGGAGTAGAGAAGACGTCTTCAAGACATCAATATGTTTAGCCTTTTGAAATGAAGGTTTGAGAAGAGTCCTGATTTTAATGTAGTACCTTCCAAGTATCTTCATGAAAGATAAAATACCACATATTAAAATGATTCTCCATTAATTTAGTAGAAAAAGATATATTATAAGCCACAGCATTATTTAGGCTGGAAGGACCTCTGCGGGCCAGGTTGTCCAAGCTCCTTGTCAGACTACAGTCAGCTATGAAGTTACATCAGGTTCCACAGGGACGTGTCCTGTCAAGTCTTGAAGATCTCCAGGGATGAAGACGGCACAGCGCCTCCATGAACTTTTTCCAGCACTTCACCACCCTCAGCCCATTCTTAAACTGTGCACCACCAATTAAAGCCTGGCTGTGGTACTGGGTAATAACAACCCATCAGGTCATTGGCAGCATCTGAATATGACTTTGCCTAGCCTTTGGGCAGAAGTTCCACTGAATTAATCACTTTTTTAACAGAGTACATGTTTAATCACTGGAACAAACTAGCAAGCTAAGTGTTATACTTTCCTTGTCTCAAAACCTACTAATCTGTAGATCCTTTCCTTGAAGACATGCTCAATGTAAGAATTCTGCTTTGAAAAACAAGCTATTTGACCTAGTTGGAGTAATTGAATGAAATGCAGTGGGATATAACATGTAAGAGAGATCTTCCTGGACTTAAGTTTTATGCATATGTAGGGATTTGCTGGGTGAGGCTGAACAGCTATGAAATAAATAAAACTGAAAAAAACCATGTATTACAGCACTTATGAAGTTATGATAACAGGAATTAAAATACCTGAATAGTTTGATTCCTTGGTATGGCTCTCCTCATCTAATGAAATCAACCTTAATTTGAAAGAATAAGAAAAGAAAAGAGAAAATAATTCTAAGGCTATATAATATTAACACATTTTTTCTCTTTTTGGTTACATCATTACAGAATCATATCGATAACAAATAAAGAGTAATTCAGATGGACTCTCGCATTTGCTGTATATGCTGGTCTGTTGTCAACTTCTATCATTTCACTGGCAGAAGTCTGTTGAAAACCAAAGTTAGACTGAAGATCAGCTATTAAAACCTACCATCTTCCATCTTTAATCTAACTAGATCTCTGCAATGAAAAGTACAGTGTGTTCTGCTTTTCCAGATTTGATCTTTCATAACTATCACAACGGAAGTACAACTGCCTTTAAAAAAACCTCAAAAAACTTTGCAGCAGCATCTAATTAAAAATCAACAGTCAGGTGAGTTTCATCACATGTCAGCAGATTTCTAAAAAAACAAATCAACAGCACTGATGAAAAAGCTCTTGACATTACGAAAAAAAAAGAGATGTGGTTTACATGCAATCCTTATACAAAGGTAAACTCTTCAATGAAGAATATATAAATTTTAACTGCTATTATGTTGTGTAAAGCCTTTCAACCAGTAGGGAAGGAAGCAGTCACAGACTGACGTGGTGGTGAAGAGGACTTGTGTGGGCACATTCCTCCTCTCTTCTAGTTACAGGACAGTAGGAGGCACCTCTAGAGGAGAGGCTTGTGGTGAATGGACAAAAAGTAGATTCAGATCAAATTCTAGTACTACTAATGTTTACTGTGAATGGAAAGTTCATGAGGATTTTCAAAACTTTGTTTTGTGTCATTCTTCTAGAATCTTAGATATTCGGTTATGGTTTGTTTTAGACAGCAAAATGGTGTGAACGTATTTTTTCCCCTCAGTTTTTTAACAGAAAAGGAAAAAGATAATCTGGAAATAAAAACAAGTACAACTATGACATGGCATCTGATGCATTTGCTGGTAGGTACCAGGGCACACTACTAACATAAATCATGCATTCATTCCAGAATTTTATATTCAACATTAAGGAAAACAATTGTTTATTCATTTTTTTATTATTGTCACATGAGAAGCAGCAGATTCAAGGAACTGCTGTGGAAACAACCACCTGCTAAATGGTACTTGGCCAAGTTCTTTCTGATTTGCTCAGCACCAAACCTGAACCAATTTATAAACTGATTTTGGTCAGTGGTACTGAATCTAAACAAGTAAAAGACTTGGAAAATGGAACTCTTTCAAAAACCTTTATTATAAATAGCCAAGCAAAATTCACTAATTATCAGTCAAACTGTTCTCTGCTTTTTGACAACTGATCCTTTGCGGGGTCCTTCATTTAACCAGGGATAGTCAAAACAACAGGTGGCAGCAGGATTAATATCAATGCTGCATCTCCTCGCAACTGAATCCTGATGGTCCCGTAGGGGAGGGATCGCATCTCCTTCTCCTGTTCTCCTCTTCCCATAGCAGCCCATTCATAAATCTCCCTCACCTCAGAGCTACAGGTAACTCAAACCTTGATTGCATCAGCTCCCTTAGATGTACTTTTCACTAAGTACCTACTGCTTCATTGGATTACTAACCAACGCTGTATACATTACAAAAACTAATCGCTGCTCAAAGCAATCAGGAATCTATATCCTATTCCCAGGTGAAAGGAGATGCTGCTGAAGGGAGAAATACAATGCTCATGTATCTTCTCCCATGTGCAGTTGTTTACCTTTCTTTAACTAAAGAAAAAATGAAGCAAAACCTGAAAAATATAGAGAAGGCTAGGAAAGATGAAAAACATATGAAGGTTTAATAGCTCTTTTTAAAGCTCTTAATTTCACCATAAAGTTTATTAGTTTTCATGTACAAATTACAGTATTTCAGGAATTCTTGTATTATGCTTACTATTATGTAGTGTGATCAGACTAGCTGTGTCTATACTTCCATTTATAAATGTTTGGTGACTTTAGCAACCAGAAAGCAAATTATAGACAAAAAATACTTATTATTTGAATATACAGGCCATGTGACTTACTGACTCTGCTGATCTTGTACTGACTTGGTTCTCTCAGTCTGCAGGTTCTCCTTTTCTGCTTTTTCCGTTAGTTTATTCACAGGATCTTGTAAGCTCTAGATCATAACCCACAATATAAACAAAGAGAAGAAAACAAATAGAATCAGGGAAGCAAAAGTGTGTCATTTAAGGCCAAAACAGACTACAGAACCTACATAGACTGAGCAAGAATGCTTTTGAGCTGCAACAAAACTTTGGTTTGGCCAAAAAAGTAATTGCGTTTTTTTTTAATAGATGGACATATATGTCTTGAAATGTAACTAATTTAATTTTAAACTGCAGATTCATTATGTAACTTGACAGCTGACAGTTCAAACTTATTTTGGAAAAAGAAAGGGCACAATTTCATTAACAAGTATTTATTTGGCTTCAATTACAAAATGGACAATCAAAAGGATAATTTTTGTAATATTTTGCTGCATTACTTCCAAAAATGGAAAAAAGCTATGGAAGCTCATAGAAAGTTACATGATGTTAATGATGAAGACGCCTTAACACTATGGCAGTGTCAGAACTGGTTTGCTAAATTTCGATCCAGAGGTTTTGATGTTGAAGATGCACCACGCTCAGGAAGGCCAAAGTTGATAATGATAAAATAAACGCATTCAATGAATCCAGCTGAAAGCACTTCAAAAGCAGATATTCACCAAAGGAAGGTTATGCTGTCAGCCTGGTGGGACTTCAAAGGTATTGTGTATTTTGCATTGCTTCTGAGGAACCAAACCATTAATTTGGACGTGCACTGTTGTCAACTCGGTAAATTAAATGATGCCATCAAACAGAAGTGTCCAGAATTGGTGAATTGCAAAGGTGGTGTGTTTCACCATGATAATGCTAGACCACATAAAAGTTTGGTCACTCATAAAAAATTGTTGCAGCTTGGATGAGATGTGTTACCACATCCACCACATTTGCCAGACCTGGCACCATCAGACTACCATTTGTTTTGGTCTTTACAAAATGCCTTGAATGGCAAAACCTTCATTGCTGATGAGGATATCAAATCGTTCTTGGAAATATTTTTTGCTGAAAAGGACAAGAATGTTTTTAGCGAGGAATCATGAAGTTGTCTGGAAAATGTCAAATGGTAATTGAACAAAATGGACACTATATTGTTTAATAAAGTTTCTGTTTTCCGCAAAAAATTCACCTTTCATTTACCCAGAAAAAACACAATTACTTTTTTGGCCTACCCAATATATCTGACTCAAACAAGCAAAATAAAAAATGCTATACGATACTCAAATTGAGTCACATGAACACACTTTGTATAAGATGACTCCTGATTACTTCTAAACTCATGTCCTGTTTCCAGTATTTCTAAGTAAAATCATCTATACCAGGTGCAAAGCAGGCCCTAACAGTATGTTTCTTTGGCATTTTGGGACTTTCCCCTCTATTTTCCTCCTTTTTTGCCCCCTGTAAAAAAAATGAGAAAATTTCATTCTTTACATCTTTTTTTTTCCTCATATATTATTTCTTTACTTCTTTATTATCTTCTTTTTTCCTGACACAACCATTCACACAGCCTTGGCAATTGCATTGTAGTGGGAAGGTACCACTTGTATCCTGAATCTGAAAATGGGGATTAAAAACTTGGATGATTAGTTAGAAGCCAAGAGTAGTATTATGAAAACCTAATGTCCCTTTGCAATTGAAAGACCATGCTATAACATAACAATGTACAGTTTCATGGTGAGCATTTTCATAACCAAAATTTGGACATGTGAATAAGCCAACACATAAAGAAGGACTCTTTGAGATTATACTGGTTGTTCCTCTTATGCAATAATTAGGATTTTTGTATGAAAAATTAAATAACTGAAGACAGTAATTAAACAGTCGCAGATGTTAACAATGTGACTACTGGCTTTATCGAATGGTTTTGCTGTGAAGGTGAAAACTCTTTCCAAAGTCCAACTAGATTTCTGAAAAATAAAACCGTGTTTCACGTCACTAGTCCTGACCACTTGTAATTAGGTTTATGTCTCACCTGTATTCATAGTACTGCACCTCACCCACATTCTTAACCCACCCTCCAAAAAGCTGAGACTAAACTGAACAAGCCACCTTTTTAACGAACACAAAAATGTAGAGATTTTGCATCTGAAGTTTTAACAAAATGGTAGTATGTTTCATGAGAATAGTAAACCAAAGAAAAAGACATGACCGCTAAGTCCATCTCATCTATTAAATAAAGTTAGAGTCCCCAGCCCATCTGTTACAAGAAAAGCATTCCCAGGCATCTCTTAGGTCTTGTTTGCACTGCTCTGTCAACCCGGACAGATGAGTCCCCAGAAGGGGCATTCCAGTTTATGCTTGGCTCCTCATATATTTCCTGTATGAGGAAACATATACTTCTGTGTTTTAGAAACCAAACTAATGGACTTGTTGTATACTGCGGTTGGATTTTTTTTTTCTCTCAGTAAGTTAATTCTTCTAATACCACAGATCAATTTGTCACAAGCATCTAGAGCACTACAGAAATGATGCATCAAAAGATGAGGGATCACAAAAAAAGCAATAATAAATAGCAACATTAAAGAAATATACCTTATTCTGTAGTTGCCACTCTTTTTAGAAACTGTAACAGTGCTAACCAGAACCACTTATAAGTGTACTTCTTGGATTCTGAATAATGGACACTAGCCACCTCAGCTACCTCACCTATAAATTAATGTGTTACCCTTTAACTGCATTTGTACCGTGAATCAATTAGATTGCACTACCTGCACTAGTAAAATTGATGGGAATTGTTCCATTGACTCTAAGAGGCCCTGGATTAGAGCTCAAAAACATGAGAATATGCACTATATTTGCACAAATGTGAAGTGCAGGGAAAGACAGCAGAGTTTCGTATTACAGGGACTGTACTGCTGCTGACAGTCCACCGTGATCAGGAGATGATGGTGCAACAGTTGTGATGCTCTGCCTGTGACTAAGCATAGCAGTACAGAGCCTGTCGCAAGAAGGATGCAATGGTTTTGAACAACAAACAGAACTACTATAAGTACTGACTGATTATACAAGTTAAAGAAAATTATTGGAAGTAAAATCCTCTGCATCTTTACCACGAGAAATACAAATAAATCAGCATATTTCTTTAAGGAACTACATTTTATTATTCTTCCTTTGTGAGTGTTTCAGGAAATTCATATTTAAAGGACTTTGATCAAACCATGTAAACAGGATATAGATATGGAGTTCACAAGTACCTTGGGAAGAAAACAGTATGATAATAATGGCAGTTAGTATTTCCCACATTAGAGAAATAAATATAGCCCTGAAATACAGCTTCAGTTTCAATAGAGATTATGATAAAAATTGTTAAAAATCACCAGCTGTATTTTAATGCAAAATTAAATTTAGCAATTTAATTTAGACAATATTCCCTACAATTCTGATAGCAAATAATGAATTTATTTTCATCTCTCCTGCCTCTCTCTACTCCACATCACAATGTACACTATGAACCGAAGACATCTTTTTAGAAAGGTTTATAAAAATCTACAGAATGGGCATGAAACAAAACTGAATGTTAAAAAGCCACTGTAAACTCTTTTCTAAACAAGAACCCATGGTAATGTGATCACTATTGTCAGCATGCGTAGAAATGAAACTGCTATTCTGTTAACTGTTTCAGGTTACATCAGAAGGGAAGAAGTCCCATCCATCATCTAGGAAGTGTAGCAATTGAACAAGGCTACAAACATACAGAGTGAGTTCAAACACTTCAGTTGGGTGTATGAGGCGTTCCTGACTTCCTTGGCTCAGAGCAGACAAACATGTAACTTTACAGACACGTCTGGGTGCTCGTGTGAACTCACATGGACTTTGTTGTGAGCTGCACCAGTATGACTGAAGGTAGGATCCTCCTGTGTTTTGAAAGCTTTCTTCCTAGCTTTGCTATTTCTCTTTTACTATAAAAATCAGGGTAAGATCATACACAGTAGCAAAGCAAGTTCACAGTCACTATGTCTATCTTGTCTGTCCCTACAACCAAAAGTCACCCAGTGGTATTTTGTTCTCTTCCAGTACTCAATTATCAAAGCAGACAAGGGGTTCCTCCACTGCAGAGTTAGCTCTGGTTCCAGCTCAGGCACCATTCCTAGGCTGACTGCTAGTCACTTACAAAATTGCTTCACCTACATCTGGGCTGCTTTCAAGATCAAGCCAGGATCAAGCCAAGATCATCTGCACCGCACAAAAAATCTGTCCTCTGCAGTTAAATCACCAGAGCATTGACACTGTGCTTAGCTCGCCCCCACAGTTCCCCCCAAGTGCCTTGGACAACTTATGCACTTCCTCTTGACTGAGAAAGCAAGCAAGCAACATTGTTAAGGGCAGCTCCAGCAGCCAGGGATACATCTGAGGATGTCACAACACACATGAGCAAGTGCAACACTACTGAAGAGACAAAAACTTGGATGTTACATTTAGGGGGAGAGCTGAAAGGGAAGGGGAAAAGCAGGCAGTCTCATAACTTCCCCATGGAAACTCATCAGAAAAACCCCCAACAAACCAAACTTAAAACACCCCAACAAAAACACAACTAACCCACCCAAGGTATAAAATTATAAGCAATCTTGGCTATGAGTAAAGCCATGGTGTAAACAGAAACAAGAAAAGATACCACACTACAGAAGAGGTCACAGGAAGACAGCAGCGTTGCAGCACCTGTTTGGACAGAGTTCTCCAAACCATGCGAGATGCACAGGCAGCAGCGTCACATTTTGTATGGACATAAATGGATGCACTGAGGTTTATGCCTTTTAACTCCCTTTCTACGGCTATTATTACTTCTAGGCTCATACTAACTCTTCTGGAATTTTGGTATTACAGCATTAAAATGTAAAAAATGCAACTAAATACTCATTAAGTAACTAAGGCAAATAAACAATGACAGAAATTAGAAAGAGGTATCACTCATGAAAAGTAGCCCCTGAAATAAATTTAAATTCATTTGATACACAGTAATTTCAAGACAATGAAACCTTGAAGTCTTTACCAAAACAGCAGTCTGTCATCTTCAATATTACAGCAGTGGATACAGTAACAGATACTTTTACATCACGGTGCATAGAGTTGTTAGCACATTAATAATCATCTTTCATCAAGCATAAAACTCACAGTCAGGAAATACAGCTGGAATAGCACAATTATACTACTCAGCATATACCCTGAAGCAAAGAAAACAAATGGGCTGCTTTTCATTAAGGGAGTTTGGCAAACAGCTCTAAAGACAATGTTTTCTTTCCAGAAACAAACCCGAGAGGCATTTAAGAGTCTCTTTCCTGAGGTAAACCTGGTACATGAATATATTCATACTACAAAATACAAATAGCAATTTTCCAGTACATAGCACCTTCTAATTTTTTCAGTAAGGCTATCTAAGTCAAATATTAACAGTCTCTTTAAATTCTTGTTGTAAAGTAAAACGCTAATCATACATACATGTATGCTTATTTTAGTTCAGAAGGATCACTTGTATGAGCAAAATTAATCTGCTTGGATCAGAACTGGAATCATAAAAGGCACAAATTATCTGCAAGCACGAAATTCAAAATTTTCTTTTAGAAAACATCTCTTTTAAGATATAAGATATGGAAAACATTCTAAAAGTGGTATCTCCTGACTAAACATAGAAACGGGCAAATTGAAATATTTTATGTATGTTTAAACAGTTATATATTCTTACTGTACATTTTTAATGCAAAAAGTCTAGAGCAGATATGGCATCTTCATTGATGGAAGATTTTTCAGACCAAAAGTTTCTCCATCAGAAACTACACTTACCCTAGGTCAGCTATAGCCATTTATTATACTTCATTAAAAAATAATACCATGTAATCTCAATGTAGGATTAGCTTGCAGCTCCTTCTTAATATATAGTTACTTTGACATGAACATATGATATGACTGGTAGGGGTCAGTTCCCTAACCATAAGCTTCTATTGTTATTCCACGCCCAGGTCTAGCAGAGGAGACACAGGATCTATGGGAGTCCCAGACCCTTCAGAAGTGACAAGTAGAGGTGACTTACCTTAGGAGGGCACCTGAAGTAGCAGCAGACACCTATTCGCTTAGGCAACAGAATCTCACCTGATTTAACCACCAGATTTTTATTTAATCTCCTTAGCAATAATTTAATGTAGACAAACAGAAACTATTAACTGGGGGGAAAGAGATGATGGAGGAGCCTGAACTTCGGTATAGAAAATGTTCCCACACTCTAGAGACCAAAAGAAATAAAGAACTGATAATAAAAGGCAGCAACATATCCCCAGACAGCTGTGTTCTGAAAGCACAAACTTCCATGAAATTCTGTAGTATAAAACTACCTCCTGATTACCATCATTTCTCAGCATACATATCACTGCAAATAAAGAAAATCACGTATTTTCAGTGCAAGAGGCCAGCAATAAAAATGGTTAAGATTCTCATAACAAAGTTAGTCTGCATCCTAAACACACTACAATATTCACAACCATTTTTACAGTTACTATCTGCTTCAAGGGAGTGCTTGTTACATGTGTGTGGACTCAACATAGATTGTATTTTTTCATCACAGATTCCCAATCTAATTTCAAAATTAGATTACACTAAAAGGAGGAAATTCAAAAGATAACAAGCATCCCCAAATCTCTCTCATCCTCCATTACAAGTGTATTTCACACTCCACAACAGGTGCATTTTCTGTACAAGTTTCTCTCCAAGGTGTCCAAACATTACTATGCATTTTGAACATCATATGTCTTGTTCAAATAATCATATTTTTAGATATGAAAAAGAATGAAAATTAAATACTCAGCAATAATATAGGCTACCTATACAAATTCAACTATGACTGGTTCATACCAAAGCAGAAAAAAAAAATCCTCTGAAACCTTCGAACATTGGGCAATGTTGAGGAGAACAGCCCAACAGCATGGTATCCAGGCTCCTGAGCAGGACTACAGCCATGTTAAAACCAGGCTGTGAACTACACATTGCTGCAATGGGAGGCTATGGTGGGGAAATAAAGGAGACTTTATTTTCTGGTTTGGACTTTAAGTGGTGAGTCTGTAGGCAATTATTAGCAATGTCCAGGTAACTATGCCCAACTGTCTCCAGCTGAAGTCTGGACATAAGCTCTGGCTGAAGTTCATCTTCCATGACATGGATTATACAAGAAAGAAGCTTAGAGTTACATTAACTTCATAGCAAATGAGGACTTCTCCTGCAAGACAGGATTCTTCAGAGGCTGCGTAAGATGAAACCACTTAAGAGCCTTCTTTGGTCAGGGGAGACCGAGCTTGAAATTTGTTTGGTTGGTGTGTTGTGATGTTTCAAACTGCAGGAATAACAGTCTCCACAAGCTCTTTATGCATTTCAGAGTTCAGAAACTGCTCCCTCCCAACCCACATTCTGGAAAACAATTTTAAATATAGCATAAGCATGTACAGACAAGTTTGGTAGTATGTGGTGAATTAAACCTTATATCTTCAGGTGCTTCTTTTCCAGGAGCTCCAGGGTAGCCACAGGCTATATAGCATAACGTAGCCCAACTTCCACTTCTACACGTCATATGCATTAACCTTTCACAGATTGAGGCTATGACTTGTAATTGCTTTCAAGATGGGCAGTTCCTCCAAGCAAACAGTGGCTTTGCCACAAGCTGTTCATTCCTCACTTTCTGCCCGCTAGTAACACTTCCATCAGACTTCGTCCAGACAAACGTTATTTTTCTCCCATGCAAATAGGATCAGTCAGATAACTGGAAAGTTAACAATTTTTTCACTGTTTTCCCATTCCTCTACTGAACCTTGAATTGCAATGACCAAAGCAACTTCCTAAGGCAGGCATGACCAGGAAAATACACAGTGGTGACTGATTATTTTTAGATACCTGGCAAAACTCTAAACTCAAACTTCAGTCATATACTGTACATATTCCATATTCAAAGATTACAAGGGATCAGTAAATACCACTAGTAAAGCAAAACAGTATTTCCCAGAACAGGCAAGGGTTATAAAGGTCTAAGCACTTCAAAACAGGTATGGGAAAGCTGAGCATTTGTGTACTCATATTTGGTCCATTAAGGTATTCTTAAAGAGCATCAGTTTTTAAAGATAGATACAAAGGCAAAATAGTATTAATTCACTTGCAGGATTTTGGAGGGCAACATAAATCCCTAATTCCGATGGATTTTATGATTCTTCAGGAACAATCAAACACAATCCCAGTTATCACTTAAACACATACTTAAGTGCAGCTCTGAATAATGTCTTCTTTTGAAATAGGTCCTTAATCATTGCACTTTACATGCAGTTTTTGATCCTACTAGCCAGAAGTGCATTAAACAGAAAAATTGTATTTAAATGAAAAGACAGAATAAGGATAAAATTATCAGAAAATATATAGACAAAATATGGATGTGTGCTTTCTGCATCCATGTATGGTGTCTTATTTGTTGTCACTGAGCAAAAAAAATATATCTTTACATTCCTTACCTTTAACATAGTGAATTCATATGGCTGATAACCTTTAAAACTTTCATGAATGGCTGCCATCATGTGCGAAGTTTTTTCCCAAAAATGAAGAAGTGTTGTCTGTAAAGTAGGATAAAATTTCAATGCCATGTTAGCTTTAACATCAATCTGCTTTCAGTGCAAATTTCACATCTCTCCTCCAATACTAGTTATATATTCTTACAGTTGAATATTGCCATGGTAACCTCTTAAAAAAACATATATAAACAGGAAATCTTTCTTTTGGTGGTCAACATTTTCTCTGGATACCTGATATGTTGTCAACACATGAGAAAGCAGGTTGCATCTGCTCGCTCCCAAAAGATCCACTTTTTGACAGACATCAGTCTTCAGTTTGTCAAAGTTGAGTTTTGCATGTCGCACTTGAGCTTGAACCTTCAAACAAAGGGACAATTGTTTATGTAGTGACTTTTTTCCCTCCATTTTTCTACCTCAGCTTCACGAAAGAGCAAACTAATAAAACTTCTAGGGGAAGTTTTTCAGATAACTGAAGAGAATTAATTAAAAATGTATATAGAACTTTATCAACTCCACTGAAATCAAGATACAGTAGGCTGGTATATGCTAAAATATAGTTCTTACTATCGTCTATATTACTATTTGTCTAATATGTTCAGTGAAGAAATCTTGTTTTCTAACCCCTGTTTATAAGATGGATAATAGTACTAAATATATACTGAGAAGATAATGATTTGAAAATGTGCTCATTTTGGTATCTCTTTACAGAAATGACAATTCAAAGCCTGAACAAAAAAATCTGGAACTATAACTTTACCACATAATATACATGTACACACTCAGAGATGTCTCCATGTACCTATAGTAGGAGATGAATTACACTGACAAACTTTAAAGTCAATCTGCAACTCTTGTTGACAATATAGCACTTCAGTAACTTTGAACTGCTACAAAAAATTTCACTCATTAAAGTTTTCCTTCTGAACTAGAATGTTTATTGCTATAAGAAAAATATTAAGGCCACCTTTATAGGGAGCAAACAATTTCATTTTCAAAGGGTTTATGGTCTTTCAAATTATTGTCCTACTGCCTGTTAAGTATATACAAGACACTGTCTGTTACACAAGCTGCACATGTTTGACAACAGTACTGATTTTCTCACGATCAGATATCAGAGTAGGAGGTTGATGTAGGTGATTTGTGCACAGCACCCCCCATTTTTATGACAGTTTTGTACACTTTCCTAAATACTATACTAACAGAAAATTTTGTATATAAAATTTAATTCTCTTCCAAGGAAATGGGAAATTATCAAACCACAAAATATTCTTATTTTCCTATAACTCCTTCACACTTACAATAAAATGTTTACCCAAAACAACCTTCACAGTGGAAGAAAACAACACTGAATGCAAATTACATACATTTCCTTTCCTTCATTTGCCTAACTCAGAGGGTAAACTGATTTTGTTCAGAACACACAGACCAATCAAACAAAATCTGACATATTTGTGTGCTCCTGATCTTCAGAAATGAATCCAGAATTTTGCAGCAAGTGCTTGTGTGCTCCTTGTGTGGTAACGACAGATACATACTTTATAACACAATCTGAAATGTCAGGATTATTGTATTTCATAGAATCATAGAATGGTTTGGGTTGGAAGGGATCTTAAAGATCATTTAGTTCCAACCCCCCAGCCACAGGCAGGGACACCTCCCACCAGACCAGGTTGCTCAAAGCCCTGTTCAACCTGGCCTTGAACACCTCCAGGGAGGGGGCATCCACAACTTCCCGGGGCAACCTGTGCCAGTGTCTCACCACCCTCACAGTAAAGAATTTCTTCCTAATGTCTAATTTCTATTCAGATCAGTTGTGCGTAAGTAATATAATAGGGTAGCACATATCAAAGGTCTGATATGTTCATAATGAATGAGCTACAATAATTCAAAATTGCTGATAAAAGCAGCGTTTCATATGTGAGACTTTAATTGCAAAAAAAATGACATTTGGAAAAAAATGCCTGTTGTTTGTTTGTTTGTTTTAATAAAGAAACATCAGTGATATTTTACCTTTTATAAAATAGCTTTGTGATTTGTGCATTCATCCAGAAGGAGAAGTCTTCCAGGATAACTACATATTATATCAAACAATCAACAAATCCTGAGTTCTGGTAATAACAACTACTTCCCAAACTTCTCCTGACCTGATGCAGTGCTCTAACCACTAGACTACAGCATCTTACTGATAGCTTGCTTTGTTGTTTTGACGCACTGAAGAGCTTCAAGTCAAAGAGGAGTGTCCAGAGCTGGAAGAGTTCTTGGGCAGTTAGGAGATGTTTTGGTGAGGTGGAGACAAATTTTAATTCCCTCAGGAAGGAGGAAATTGCTCCCATGGCTTCCACTCCTTACGCAAGCATGACAAATGCTAAGCTATGTGATAAAAAGCAAGGAGCAGCTCCTGGCAAGATATCGCCCTATAAAGCACAATATTTTGTGAAAGGCCTTAGCCAGTCAGAACTACACTGGCACAATCTGAGAATGCCACTCAGTTTGGGAGCCTCAAGGGACTTTACATTACTTTTTAGCTGCAGATTCATGCCTGGCTGAAGCCCAAGGAAGGCACCATGCTATCCATGCCTGGAGAAGTCCTATCCCAAGTACAATTGTCTAGTCAAAAAAGCATGTAGGTAAAAAGCTTATGGGCCTCCAAAATTAGGTAGCAAGGGAGGAGGATTGGAGCAGTGGCAGAAGCAGTGTGGAGGCTTTATCCAGTGCTGGATAGCACACCTTTGTTCTGCATTAGATCCTCAAATCCTTCATTTCCTCTAGCTCTGAGTGGCTGAGAGCATGGATTTACAACTTTGGTCTAAAGAGGAGACTTGTCAAGAAAATCATGAGCCTGTGCAAAAATGAGCTTCTAACTGAAATCCAAACATGATCTTATCTACATCTTCTGCCAGCAAGAATTGCTACAACAGGAAGGTATTTAAGTAAGAGATGTTGTAGGGCTTTGAAAAACCTAGTGAGACTTGAGATCAAATTCTGATCTCAGCTACAGCCATGAAAAGCCAGAGAAATTCAACTGATGTCAGTGGAAACATGTCAAATATAAAACTGTATTTTACAATGGTGCAGCTGAGATCAGAATCCCTTTCCTATTCAGTATATCATAGCTCTGCTGAAAGCACAGTAAGAACAGCTGTGGCTCTGTAGACTGACAGTCTAAGTAAGCAAAGAATGTTAGTTCTGGGTAATATAAACACTCAGAGATGGTGAGGCACAAAGAACTGTTAAATGTAATTATTAATTTCTACAACTGCGAGTCTGCACAAGGGCTTTACACAACAGACTGGGATTTGGGTCTACGTCATGTTTCCAACTCCTTAGAAGAAGTGAAAAAATCCAGAAAACAAAAAAATCTGTAAAGCTTGAGTTGTAGTCTTCCTGCATACAGTCTTTGGGGATATTTAGCAAGAAACAACGTTAGCATTTATCTTAACTGGACATGTAACTAGCATCTCTTTTAAAAGAGCATTCATGAAGAGAAAGAGGTGGCACACAATACAGCATGGAATACAAACCCGTATATGTGACAAATGCCACACATTTCTCCTGCCAAACAGGGAAGATGTGACACTATGAGAACTACTAAATTAAGGATGCTTTTCAGCTTTTTTGAGATACTAAAAGTTTATTGAGCACAAGGACTCTCCATTTTGCAACTGCGGTAACAGGACAGCCAAGAACGTATACTGCATACTACATCAGCAAGACCTTTTGACTTTCGTGCGTGCCAATAAATGTATTCTCAATTCAAATTATTATTAGACATCTTTTAAGATTACTTGTGGCTTCAGGAATCAGGTATAAAATCTTAGTGCTTACAAAGCATAATCTACTTAATACCACACAAGTTATCAGAATGAACCTTTGGCTTTCTACTCAAGGGAAAGCTGATGTAATACATCCTAATCTTCTCCTTTCTCTGCAATTAGTATCTAAGACATAAGAAACAGGACCTCACTGTGGTCTCAGTCCTGCAAATTTTTATGCATATATTTAACTTCATTAAAGCTGAACATACAAAATCTCTTCAAAATCTTGGTCTGTAAAGTATCAGAATTTTACTGACTGCAAGGGAACTGCACCAATCCAAATGCAGCTTGGACATTTTATGATGAAAGATCTTCCAGGTATCTGAAACTGCAGGTGCTAGTTGTGAGAAGCTGTGCTGTGCAAGAAAATCCTACAGTATTACAGCCACAAAAAGATTATGACTGTTTTTCTTTTTTCTAAGCAGCAACTTGGAGCAACCTGCTCTTAATTTCCCAGTGCAAATATCTAAGTACAATATTTACAGAACAGAATTCTTTAAAGAGAGCACATAAGAAAACATAAACTTGGAAAGCAGTATCTTATTAAATCAATAGCTCAACAAACTATAAGATACCAGCTAAAACTGAAATAATTTTATAAGACTAAAATAAATAATTAAGCACACAAATAAATAGATGTTAAAATCCTAAATCCTGGGGGCTTCAAAGTCAGATTCTGGCATGCTTGACTGTAAGGGCAAATATATGCTAACACAGGTTCCTGAACTCATACTGAAACAGAAAAGTCCCAATTTTCAAGAGTGCTAACATAAAAAAAATTTCAGGCCTACTTAAAAAGCCCTATTCAGCATGTTCAGTTACTAAAATACAGATTTGTCCTGTAATTTTAAGGAAACTTTGTGTCCTCTAGAGTACATCTGTGCTATTAGTTTCTTTTAGTCTACCATAAGATGCAAAATTTATTTTCAGTAGTAGCCCAATCTCAGTGACAATTCAGCTAGTGAAGCATCATCTCCAAAGTGAGCTTATGTCAGATAAGTGCACTAACTCACTTTACATACAGTGTATTTTCGTCTCAGCATCTCCAACATAGAAGCAGAAACAGATGCTTCCAGTCTAATTTGTCACCCAGCCTCTCACTTACTTGATCTGAAAAGCATGCACAGCATGTGTATAGGCTGGAAGGAGCAGGGGAAGTAAATCAAGCGGGAAAAATGCCTGGAATATAGGAAACCTTCCTGTTGGGGGCTCTGGGTAAACTCTACCAGCAGATGGAATCAGCATAAATTTCTGCATTAAGTATAGCACCTTCTGGCATACTGATCATTGTTGAAAATGAAACGCGAACTAAAGTAGGCTGCAGTTTGAGGACAAAGTATGTAGTGTATAGCGTATCTTATACCAGTTCTGCATGCATCACAGAAAGTATAAGGAACTTGATTCTCAGTTCCCACAAAACTGTAATAACTTCATAGCTTGAATGGTGTTATGACAAGGAGCACCCATTAGACTTTTACATGAGCACATATAAGCACTTACTGATTTTTTGCTTTCTATTTTTTCAAAATTCAAGCTTGATGC